CTTTGATTGACACCAACCCACTTTCTACAGTTGGTTCAAATCAGGCTCCAACGCGCACAGCCTGTGTTGACAGGCCTCTGAAGTTTCCTTTTACCTAGAAGTTCCTCCTCCTCATTTTTTTTTCTTTTCCAATGCCATGTATTTGTTGATGAAACTGAGTCATTTGTTTGTAGAATTTTCCACACCGTGGACTGGCTGACCGTACCCCAGCAGTGCGTTTAACACGCTCCTCTGTCCTCGGAATTCCCTATGAACCATGGTTACATCTCAGACACTGCGTCCCCATGGGAGGGCGGAAGTGGGGGTGGGATGGGGTAGTTTTGCCCCCCAGGGGACATCTGGCTATGTACGCAGGCATTTTAGGTTGTCACAAATGTCAATGACTTCTGGTGGGGGCCAGGGATCCTGCTCAACACCCTGCAATGTGCAGGAAACGGCCCCCCACCCCGCACCCCAGAATGAGCTGGCCCAAACTGTCGCAGTATCAAGGTCAAAAAACCCCATGTTGACGCTGATGAGATTCAGGTCCAATTTTTTTCTTTTTTTCCCCAAGAAAACTTGAAAGATGGTGCCATGTCATAGGTGGGTTGCCCGGAAGTGGATAACAAGTGATTTAAGAAAGAAGTGCTCCCAGGGGAAGTGATGGGGAGGGGCAGGCAGGAGAAGGCAGGCCAGGGTGCAATGCCTCCCAAAAGTCCCAGCTTCACCTGGCCACCTGAGGGAGCTCTGGGTGGGGAGGTGGGCTCTCACCACCCCTCCCTGGTCTCACCCCTGGCTGTGGACAAAGGGGGTCAGAGGGGATAGGGCAGAAGGGGATGTGAAATGCACTAGCCCCAGGGTGTCCTCTGAAAAGCACTGCAGACTGAACCCTCAGGAAGGGGTGGGGAGCAGAGGACAAGCGAGGGACCCACAGGGGGCCTGGGGAGACTGTGCAGCGCCTACCCGCTGTGCTCCTACGCTGCCATCCGCAGGCACACAATGCATGGGTGTCCGGCTTTAGTGACATCACCGTGACGCACATGAGCTCGGCGCTCTGGCAGCGGCCGGCAGCCTCACGGAGCCCAACTATCAAGGCTGAAATGGTGAGACCGAGTTTACTATGAAGCGTGATGTAGTGGCTACCTTAACGGCCCCTTGACACAGTTGACCAAAGGCTGCCTGCTGTCTCCGCCTGCTGGTGCTACTGAGACAAAAACACCACTGTCGGGCGTTCAGAGAGCGGGCGCCCATCTTCTCACAGTTACCGCTGTCAGGTGCCACTGAGTCGGTTCCGACTCAGAGACCCATGCACAACAGAAGGAAACACTGCCTGGTCCTGAGCCATCCTCACAATTGTTAGGCTTGAGCCCACTGTTGCAGCCACTGTGTCAATCCATCTCGTGGAGGGCCTTCCTCTTCCTTCACTGACCCTCTACTTTACCAAGCATGATGTCCTACTCCAGGGACTAGTCCCTCCTTGGTAACATGTCCAAAGTACGTGAGATGAAGTTTCGCCATCCTCACTTCTCAGGAGCAACCTGGCTGTACATCTTTCAGAACAGACTTGTTCATTCCTCTGGCAGCCTGTGGTATAGTCAACACCATAATTCAAAGGCTTTCGCATGCATATGAGGCAACTGAAAATAACCATGGCTTGGGTCAGATGCACGTTAGTCCTCAAAGTGACATCTTTACGTTTCAATATTTTAAAGGTCTTTTGCAGTAGATTTGCCCAATCCCATATGTCATTTGCTTTCTTGACTGCTGCTTCCACGGGCGTTGATTGTGGACCCCACTGTGATGGTTAAGGTTGTGTGTCAACTTGGCCATGAGCCTCGGGTTTGGCAATTGTCATGTGATGGTGTGATCACTTTCACGATGAGACTGGATATAATGTGATCGCCTCCATGATGGGATCTGCTGTGAGCAGCCAATCAGTGGAAAGGGAGTTTCCTTGGGGGTGTGGCCTGCATCCAATACAGGTGGACTTTCTGGCAAGGCTTGAGAACTTTTGCTTGCTCTGGATCCTGCAGCTGGCTCCTGTTCGTCTGACCTCCAGTTCTTGGGACTTGAGCTGGCAGCTGACCTGCCATCTTGCCTGCCCGTCTTGGGACTCATCGACCTTCATAGCCTGTGAGCAAGAGCTTAGCACACATCCTTCCAGTTTCTAAAACAAGGTCATGACTCATGACACTGTAGGGAAGGGAGGAAATACCAGGACATCTTCTTTTAAAGCTACATAAGTTCTAGCAGCTGCTTGGCTCTGCATCTGCTGATTCTAATGCTCCAATCCACCACTCACCCCGCCCTGCTCCCAGCCTGTTCCCGGCCCCCTGCTCCCTCCAGGATGAGACCCAAACTCCTTCACCGCCTCCAAGGCTCCGTGAGCTGGCAGCTGCCAACCCTCTATCCCACCTCTTCCCACGTACCCATCCGCACCGATGAACTAGCTGGGGACTTATGAAGGGGCTTGGCCACCTGGCTTTGGAGGGTAGTCCAAAAAAAAAAAGACCAAACCCACTGCCGTGGAGTCAATTCACAGTGACCCCATGGGGCAGTTCTACTGTCTTATAGGATTACTATGAGTTGAGTTAGTTTCCAAGGCTGTAAATCTTGTCTGATCTGCCGTGCTGGGGCCGGGGGCTACCCAGGAGGAAACCACACTGCCCAGAGGGCCGTCTGCAGGGTTTCCTCCAAATCAGGGGTGCAGCTCACTCCAGTGTAAAATCGCTCATCAGACACTCCCCACCCAAACTGTAGCACAGCCTCACCGCGGGCCAGGCCAGAGTGGGGCCAGCGCCTCACCTGCACCAGGTCTAGAGGGGGGCCTGGCTGCCAGGGGGGGAAACGGGGGTGAGGAACACCCAGCCTTCAATGGAGGTAGGGTACACATCGTGGGGTACCTCAGCCATCCCTTCCAACCCCTGAAAAAGTCAAAAGGGCCGCAGCACAGCCTGCAGGGGAGACCCCTCAACGTCCATCTAGGGAGATCCCGGAGGAAACTCTTTCTGAGATCACGTGTGGGACTGCCCCGGTGTGGGGCGGGGGGAGACATAACTTTGGAGGGGGTGGGGCACTACAGCGAGGGTGGGGTCACCGAGGGCTGGGGGACCTGATTAAAAGGCTAAGCTTTGTCTACCATCTAGAGACCAGAAACGTGTTCTCTGCAAAACTTGGGTAGCAGTTCCAGCCTCTGTGTGGGATGTAGGGGTGTGTGTGATGTGTGTGTATGTGTATGGTGTGCGCGTGCTATACGTATGAATGGTGTGTGTATGCGTGGTGTGTACGTGTGTGTATGTGAGTGGTATGAGTGTGCTGTGTGTATATGCGTGGTGTGTATGTGTGGCATGTGTGTATACGCGTGGTGTGACTATATGCGTGGTGTGAGTGTGTTTGTGTGTGCACAGTGTGTGCACTGGAGGGGTCCACTCGTTCTCAGCAGCACCCCCACGTTCTCCAGTGGCCGCAGCCAGCGTCTCCAGCGGTGCCTGCTCGTGAGGAGAGCTGAAGAATCTGCGTTTCTATCTTCTGTTCATGCACATATAAGAAGTCGCTGTGATTTTTTAATAAAAGAATACTTCACTATGATAAATAAGAACAACAGACTGCTTTTTAAAATTTTTATTTGGTGTTAACTCCACAAGAAAACAAAAAATCAGTTACTCTGGTGAACGTGAAGTCAGAACGATACAGCCGGGGCCAGGCCCAAGGGGCGCGGGCTCAGGGCTCTTGTGTGCAGGCGCGTCATACCACAGCGCGGCGCGGCCTTCTGCCAACTTTTTAAAATGCTTTTTCTTTGTGATCATCCATTCACCAAACTAAAAACCACACGTTCAACTCTGTTGCTGAAATCCTCCGAGTTTCAGCCACTGAACTAGGAAAACAAATCAATACATTGCGTGTGACTCCCAATCACGCTTACCTCACCCCCCGGGGAGGCGCAGACCCCCAACCCCCCAGGGAGGCGCAGACCCCCATCCCCCGGGGAGGCGCAGACCCCTAACCCCCCGGGGAGGCGCAGACCCACAACCCCCGGGGAGGCGCAGACCCACAACCCCCCGAGGAGGCGCAGACCCCCTGGCTCCTGTGGGAGGCGCAGACCCCCATCCCCCGGGGAGGCGCAGACCCCCAACCCCCCGAGGAGGCACAGACCCCCTGGCTCCTGTGGGAGGCGCAGACCCCCCAGCCCCCAAGGAGAAGGCTGCCCGGCTGCGGAGCCTCTCGCGAAGGCAGCCGTCCAGAACCCGCTGAGCTGAAGGCTGGTCTGTGATGAGTTTTGGTCTCTGCTACACAAGCAATGGTTTCTAGGACACGGTCACTGCAGTGACTTTGGGGACCCACACTCCCGATTCTTTTTTGCTTTGCTGTTAAATTATATTTCAGTGCAGATGCTAGTCAATTTTTAGGAAGCTCCAGAAAAAAGAAAAATACATAGAACTTATCTGAAATCTGTAAATAAATAACAGCGACGCAAAACCTTGCACGCACACACGCACGCACGCACACACACGAGCCCACTTTAAAGTGTCGAAAGGCATGCTGCATAGAAGCAGCCCCTCAGGCGCGGAGGGACCCACCCGGGACCCCATGACGCCAAGGCCTCCATTGTCGTTTTCTGTGTCATCAGTGAAGGAACAGGCGACAATGCCCAGTGCTCACAGCAGACGGTCCATCTCAGGCCAGCTCGGCTCCCAGCTGGCGGACTGTGCCACACGCCCACGGCCCACCAGGGGCCGTGGGACGCTGTCAGGTCCAGATCACCAGCCTGCCGTCACCGCTGCACACAATCGGCCTCACAGAGCAGGGGTCTTAACACAACGAGGTGTTATAACAGGAAAACAAGCTAAAATGTTTAGGGTTTGCAAACATGGCCCCAGCTCCACCCTGCCGCCCTGCATCATGAAGCGCGGGAGGCCCTGCCTCACCAAGGAGCTGGAAGACGGTCAGTGTGGCCTCGCACGCACGCACACATGCACGCACGCACACTCACGTGCCACCCGCAGAACTCGCCCACTCTCTCCAACACAAAATGAGACACAAGACAGACTGTGGGAATCTCGAGCACGGAGGGCTGCGGCAGCCAGGAGGGCCATGGGTGGCGAGCCCCACGCATCAGACACTTCCAGTCGTGAGTCTGGGGGTCACCAGAAAACAACAATTCGCAATTAAGGTCCTCAGCATGTACTGCTCGAATCACCACCCCCAAGGGGGACTTTGGGGCAACCGGCCCCCTCCCCACTCTGCTGCACACACTGCCCCACACCCATCCTTGGCTTCTTCAGGTAGCAAGAAAGTCACAAGCCACGTATCCTCCACGGTACTTTAGGGGAAGCCCTACGAGAGAAAACGCAGCAGCGGTAAGTCTCCAAAGCATACTCTGTGGCTCCCGCATCCAACGTGTGTGAGAGCTGGCTGGACGGAGACCGTGGGCCAGCCCTGCGCCCCCGAGGCCCACCGCGGGGCGAGGGCCCGTCCCAGGCCTCAGAGAGCAGAGCCTGCGTGTTCCACACTGAGTCTTGAACGGCAAGCGTGGCTGTGGACAGTGCGGCAGGACGGGCGCTACCAGGCGACAGAGCTGCGCGGAGCTGCAGAAAGCAGGGATGCTTCTAAGACAAGCACATGCACACCCACTCCGGATCGGACAACACAGTCTAGTCTACTTCAAATAGCCAAGAATTAACAGCTTGGAAAAAAAATCTTCAACAGGATAGCTGGCCTCAACTCTAAAATAAGCAAGAAGAGAAAGAGAATTACTGATCGGAACCACTTAATCGAAGAAGAAACCTAAGCTGATCAACAGGCCTCACAGAAGGGTCATTTCCCATCGCACACGGTTTTCAGAACACAACGTGCACTACTCGCAGGTTCAGAGATGAGTTCGAGAAAAGAGCTCCTCTTCGCCGGGGCCCGCCCATCCGCCCCCGCCCTCCGAGCCGCTGTCGTCGGGGCTGGTGTCGTCCGCGGCCGAGCCGGTGCCGGAGCCCACCTTTCTGCGGAAGCCCGAGAGCCTCTCCCCGGTGCACCTGGCTTCATACACTGAGGACACCTGGGGTGGGAGAGACAATCCCCGACAGGTCAGAAAGAGCACTGGCAGCCTCTTCACACACAGACTGACAGCGGGCTGGTCTCCTGTGGACAGCCACAGACACGTAGTCTCGCCATCTCAGAGCAAAACAAGACCACCTTCCCCCATCGGGAGGACCCCACCCCAATTCTGTATGTGCAGTCCCTTGGAGGACACTGACCGCAGTAGGTCGGGTCAGGAACAACACTGCTCTCACTGTCACCAACTCTGAGTGGCCGTGAGAGGGCCGGGGTGGGGCGGAGCAGACCCCCTCTTCTCTCCCGGGGCTCCCATTCCAAGGAGCAATGCTTCAGATTGCAGGGACAGGTGGGGAGGGCAAGAGAAGGGACTGCATGGTAGGCGGCAGGGAGGGAGGCTGAGGAGCTTGTGCGAGTACAAGATCAGCAGGCAGCCGCCTGGACCTTGGGGCCGGGCTTCTGAGTCACCTCCCTTGTCCTGGACTTGGTCCCTGGTCCAGAGCTTCCTAGGACACACCTGTTGTGTGGGATGACCCCACACCAAAGGAGCCCTGGTGGCACAGTGGTTAAGTGTTTGGCTGCTAACTGAAAGCTTCGCAGCTTGAACCTCCCCAACGGCTGGGTGGGAGAAAGGCCTGGTGATCTGCTCCCGTAAAGATCAGAGCCAAGAAAACCCCACGAGCAGTGCTACTCTGTCCTGCGGTGTCACCGTGAGTCAGAATCGACTCGGTGGCGCCCAACAAGAAGCTAGGCCACCCCAAGCGAGGGCTGCGTGGAGGGACACGGTCCAGGGGCGGACGAGCCCAGCACACAGGCCTGGCAAGGGCATAAGGTTTACTGCAGGGCACAGGTGAGAGGACCCAGAGCACAGGTAGGTGGACCCAGTGCACAGGTGGGAGCACCCAGTGCACAGGTAGGGGGACCCAGCACACAGGTGAGGGGACCCAGCGCACAGGTGAGGTGACCCAGAGCACAGGTGAGAGGACCCAGCGCACAGGTGAGCGGACCCAGCGCACAGGTGAGAAGACCCAGCGCACAGCTGAGGGGACCCAGCGCACAGGTGAGAGGACCCAGCGCACAGATGAGGGGACCCAGCGCACAGATGAGGGGACCCAGCGCACAGGTAGGAGGACACAGAACACAGGCCTGGCAGGGGTGTGGGCTTCACTGCAGAGGACCTTGTAGCCAAGTGTGTGAGCCCTGGGTCCCAGGGCTGCCCCCGCCAGCGGGGACTGCACTCAGGGTGGGTGTGACCCTGAGACACAGTTCGTCTGTGTGTGTGTGTGTGTGCACCTGCTGTCTGCTGTCTGTGCTGGGACGGGGGCAGTGGTAGCACCCCCTCTCGGCCGCGGGAAGGGTCAGAGGAGGAGATGCTGTAGGGCGTGCGGTGTGGAGAGGAGACTGGGGGCAAGGGGAGGGCGGAAGCAGGAGACCCGCAGATCACGCTGCCCATGACGATGGATGGGGCAGAGGGATGGAGGGCTGGGGGAGGGTACGAGGGGAAGTGGAGGGGAGGCAGGATGGAGCCCACCTCCAGCCGTGGGGCTGTGGGTAGGCGAGAGGTGCCCGACTGCGACAGGTGCCTGGTGGGGTCTACGCTGGGCCCGCGTCTGGCTAGCAGCACATGAACACCAGCACCCCAGGACGTGAATGAGCCTGGCGGCCAGCTCCCAGACGTGACTGCAGGGGTGCACACACTGGGGTGGGGTCAGCAGGGGAGGGGCGTCAGGGGCAAGGCGGCAGGTGCACCTAAGCGGGGCATCGGGCTTGGGCACTGGGGCGGGGCGTCGGGGTGGGGTGTCGGGCTGGGGCATCAGAGGCGGGGCATCAGGGGTTCGGGCACCACGGCGGGGCGTCGGGCTCGGGCACCGGGGTGGGGCAGCAGGGGCTGGGGCACCGGGGCGGGGTGGCAGGGGCGTGGCATCAGGGGCTGGGGCACCGGGGTGGGGCGGCAGGGGCGCACAGCACAAGGCGCCACCCGCAGGTCCGAGGGGAAGGAGACCCAGTCCACGTGCAGAGCTTCCCTCTGGCTGCCGCGTGACAGGGGAGGCTGTCCAGGAACCTCCCATGGCAGACATGGGAAAGAGGACATGCACAGAACTGGGGGGCATGAGGAGGTACACTGGTGTGATCAGGTGACAGGGACAGTAGCTGTTCACCAGATGAAGAAGCAGCAGGACAGTCCACTCACCCTATTGAAGTCCAGCGGGTGCTCAGTGCTGGGCATGTCTTTAGCGTCCGGATACTCTTCTAGACCGTTCTCCGCCTTGGCGTCGGTGTGACATTCTTAACCATGGGGAACAGAGGAAGAAGAAGGAAGGCCCATCAAGACACAGCTGTGAAACCAACATCCTGCCTCGTTAACCCTGAAAGGCTCTATCCATCAATCCCCTGGCCCTCGGACAAAGTGCTCACGGAAAGATGGAAGCCGTGTGTCACCAGCCAGATGTATGCCAGCTTAGAGAGCCGTACAACGGACTTTTTATTGGGTTTTTAAAAATCAGAGCAGCACAGCCCTCCACCCGTCACCCCAACCCACCACAAGACACCTGCTCAGCAGACAGGTTTTCACACTGCAGTATGACAGGGTAGGACACAGGCCTGCACGGCCACACCTACAGGAGCTGACACTGGGAACAGACCAGGTGTTCACACTGCAGTGTGAAATGGCTTGTCTGTCCGTCCACGACTCTAAGGCCACACCGTGTGCTGGGTCGTTAAGCAGGGATAAGAAGGCGGCCATTTTGGTGGCGTTAGGGCCCGCAGGGCGGATGGGACTGTGTTGAGAGTGGGAGCAGCCAACGATCCTCAGCCCAGGTGGTGCCCAGGAACACAGGCCCAGAGCCCAGACTCACCATGAGCCTATCTGTGCCGCTCTAGGGTCAGGCCTGGGCACAGGCACAGCCAGGAGAGAGAACAGCAGGTGGCGGGGAGTCAAGAAAAGGACCTGGGCGGCCAGGGTGAGGGCTGGCTTGCACGTCTGCTACACTTGTACCTTTGAGTGGCTGTTTCCGCCAAGTGGGTAATGCCCCCGCCCCTACCCAGTACACGCACCCTGAGGGCTCCATGAGTTGACGGGCCAGGTGACACAGCGGGGACCAGGCTGGCGCTCGGTCAACAGGAAGCAAAACGTGACAGGACGTGATGACAGCCGGGCCTGCTCTGCCGGCCGCACTGGATGCACCACAGCCATCCCTCCTCTTCCTCCTCCTGGCCGGGCACTAGTCCCAGGGGTTCAATCCCTGGCTCTGCTACTTACCGTATTTTTACCCAAATAACGCACACGGTATACATTTTGTTGCCAACTACACAACTTCCCTTGCTATTTTCATAAGTGAGCTATGCTGGATGTTCTGTGTGGGTGCATTATTTGTGAAAAATACTTAACTTGAGGTGTAGCCTGGGGCAGACTATCTAACCTCTTTGAGCCCCAGTTCTTCGTCTTACAGCAGGGACATCAGCCCTGCCCTCGGGATTCTGTGCCGGTGGCGGGGGGGCACTCACACCACCTGCTGGGACCACAACAGGCCAGAGCCGTGGGCCGGGGGCTCAGCCGCCGCGACAGCCCAGAGCCGTGGGCCGGGGGCTCAGCCGCTGCGACAGCCCAGAGCCGTGCGCTGGGGGCTCAGCTGCCGTGACAGCCCAGAACCGTGGGCTGGGGGCTCAGGTAATCACAACGGGCCAGAGCCATGGGCTGGGGGCTCAGCTGCCATGACAGCCTAGAACCGTGGGCTGGGGGCTCAGCTGCCATGACAGCCTAGAACCGTGGGCTGGGGGCTCAGCTGCCATGACAGCCTAGAACTGTGGGCTGGGGGCTCAGGTAATCACGATGGGCCACAGTCAGGGTCTGGGGACTCAGCTGGGAGGATGACCTGCTCCACTGAGGCCGGGGAGACCCCTGTGCGTCTGTCCCAGTGGTCACTCCCCCAGCCGCCCCCTGCCAGGTTACTACTTGTCCCAGGTGAGGCAAGCAGGGACCAACGATGGTTTCCTTGACCACGCTACGCTCACAGGCCAACGCCAAGCCCATCCACCCTCATGCTCTGGGGTCCTGCGTGGGCGCTGGGATGGGCTCGGGAAGGGGCAGTGTGCGCAGATCCCATACCCAGTTCTGACCAGCCGCTGGACGCTGTCCCCACAACCACCCGTGACGGGTGCTGCCTTCACCTCATTCACAGGTAAGGGAAGCGGTGGCCGTGGCCCAGTGCCGCTCCTGGGAGATGGTGTGTGGCTCTTTGCTTCTTGGCTGACCTTTTCCTAGACTAGACGACACTTCATGCTGTCACTGCAAACAGCAGCCATGTGGGGACTCAGCTCAAAGACTGGATTCCTGGGCTCTCTCTGCCCCCCCCACCACGGTCTCTGAAGGTGACAGGAACCTGGGCCAGGAGCAGGGCCCCACCAACTAGTGCCAGATGCCAAGAGCGCCTTGGTACAGCAAGCATGAACCTGGTGTCTGAAAGTCTGACTCGGTCTCCCGACACCTGGCCTCGTGGCCCCAGGGTGGCCCTCGGCGGCACAGCCCCTGGGCACACAGCGCGGCCATCTGGCGATCCCTTTAACTGCGTCCCCTGACCCAGACTGAGCAGCCTGGAAGCCGAGGTCAGAGCTGCTGTCCCCCGGTATCCACCCGCACCCAGCAGGCAGCTGCTGCAGACCTCGAAGGAGACAACCCAGCAGACCAGCTCACTCACACCCAGCTCAGCCGCCACTGTGTGATTCTGGGCGAGGCTTCGCTTCCTCCCCTGACAACCGGGGGGGGGGGGTGCCTCCCAGGCTTCCGTCAGGGTTTGTGAAGGGAAAGGTGACGAGGACTGGTGGGTCACAGCAGCAGCCAGTCACACAGCACTGTCTGCCCAGGTGGCCCCCGCTCTGATGCTTCCCGTTGACCCCCCATGACACACGGCCCAGGCCCCAGCGTCACCCTGCTGTCAACTCCGTCTCTGCCCTGGATTGTTCTGAGACACACCTCGCCTCAACCCCTGGTTTGAAATCTTCCTGCTGTCAGACTCGCCCAGCTCAACTCACAGCCCTCCACCAGGCCCAAACCTCCTTTCCAGCCTCAGCCACCGCTGGCTGAGACCGGTGGGCCCCGCTCCCTTGACCAGCCGCAGGCCTGGCCCCGCTGAGGACACTCTTCTGAGGGGTCCCTCCCTTCCCCTGTCCCCTCGGTCCCACCCTTCACTGAAGCCCAGCTTTCACGTCTTCCCACACCTGCCTGGCCCCCCTGCCCAACCCGCGTTCCTCTGGGTCCCCTCGCGTGACGCTGCGCCAGCCACAGGGAAACCTCTCAGTCAATGTTTCGTGGACGACCCTCCAGCAGGTTGACCATCGCACCTCATGAGTGAACGAGTGAACAGGCGAGCGAGCGGACCAACGCGGCGTCCTTACCTGCACACTCAGACGTAGGGAAGAGAGGAGAGAACAGGGCTTTCTCCCACCAGGTCGGCTTCTCCTGACGTCTCCTCGCTCCCTGGATGTCTGTGTTCAACACGGAAAACTGGATGAAACAAAACACAGGAAGGTTTAACACGCGTCGGGATACAGAAAAGCATTCAGCACTATTAATTATGGACCACAAACCAGAACTTTAAACTGGCAAGTTTTTTTGCTATTCTGGGTAAGGTGAATTAAAAAACTCAACGTGCTCACAGCACAAAGAAGATTTTCTGAGAAGTACTTGCACTGGAAGTGGAATAAAAATCTTAAAAATAAAAAAAAACAAAGACAATAAAAACCACCATTCTTACAAGACAAAAACATGAACTATAACAGGAAATACCCCGGGTAAAGGGGATGCTAGATTTTGGACAGCCGGAGAGACCAGGGGGCTGCGGCATGGGGGGCTCTGGGGTGCTACATCCAGGCCTCAGGCGGGGGTTGGGGGGACCAGGGAAGAGAAGAAATTCTCACAGGTGGAGTTACCACACCCACGACACACGACACATGCAGAAGTGGAAGGAGCAGCGTGGAGGGAGAGGAGAGATGGGATGGGATGAGGTGGCACCTGAGGGCAGCACCTGCCCGGGTCGCCCAGCACAGGCCCCCAGGCTCAGGAAACGTGTGTGGATCCTGGCCTACTCTCTGCTAATAGCAGGCACCCCAGTGGAACCACGCTGCCTTCCTGTGTCCTCACGGCCACTCAGACTGGCGGCCACGTGTGGTTACAGGCGTGTCTCGTGACCCGGGGTCAGGACGGCCCCTCTGCATACCTCCACTGGGCTGATGGTGGCCCCCAGCCCCACACACGCTCTCAGCAGTCTGCTCCATGGCAGCCTCTAAGCACCACACACACCTTACTCCTTACAAGACACCTCTGTGTTCAAGTTTACAACTGAATTGTTTCGACAACTAATGATCATCAATTCTAACAGGATTTTTTACGCGTTAAACTATGTTACTTTATGCGTCTAAAATGTGGTCATTCAGGAACATGTGATTTTTTATTGCACCACTAAATGGCAAACGCATTTCAGACTCCCACTTCCCAGTAACTGCAGAAATACTCCGAAGTTAAGGACTGAAGGACTGTACCGTCTGCCCGTCTTCCCCAGCAGCTCACCCCAACAATAAGAATCAGTGCGGGCAGTCAGCAAAAGACAGGAGGCCAAGGGGACAGCAAGGCCAGACTTGAAGCCAGCCTGCTGCCACAGGCCCACGCAGCCAGCAGCCCACGAGGCAGGCAACAGTTCGAGTAACCAGCAGCCCCTGGCCACTGACTCACAGCCCCGACTACCTCCCAAAAAGAGCTCACCTCTCTCCGAGGACCCCCTCTTCACAGCATCACTGAATGCCACTTGGAGAGCAAGGAAGGCCCCGCCCAGAATGTCACCCGTCCCCCACTGCTGGAGAGACATGTGCGGGGAGGGGGGACGAGTTCCAGCTTGCGAGAAGATGGCTCTGGGTGGGCTGGGGAGTGTCTGGTGTGTGACGCGGGTGGTATACCCACCCGGCGTACCCCTTATTCCTCTGCTGACACCCTGTGGGGACGCGGCAAGGTGAAAAGGGGCAGGTTTAGCCGTGGGGGACAGGCATAGCGGGAGGAGCCAGGTTGAGGGGACAGGCACCCTGAGCGTTCGGTCAGCAGGAACGAGGAGGGGGCAGAGCAGGACCAGGGGGCAGCTGCCCAGGGCCTAGGGCATGCACAGCAGATGCCCGGTGTCTCAGCTGTAGGAGCACTTCCCGCCCAGCCTAACATCGCTGGTCCCAAGCAGGGGCTCCTGCGGATGCCGACGTGAGATGTGCTGGCTCCCGGAACCACTGCGGGCGTGCTCTTCTGAGCCCCCATGGAGGGCGAGCCCCCAGCAGGGCTGTCTGCCCTGGGAGTCAGGCCCCAAGGCGCATGCGCGCTTCACAGCCTCCTTCCTTCCGCTTAGCTGGCTCCAGCCTTCAGGCTGCGCCCAACATGCTTCACTCACCTACGCTAACTCAACTTCTGGTTGTAGTTACGAATGAAAGAATGAAAGAAAGTGGAAACAGAATGAAGCAGGCTGCACAGCTCCAGCCCACGGAGACTCCGGCTCAGTGCTGCCCGCAGCCCAGCCCCTCTCTCCCCCCAGTCTGCATCTCAAAGCGGCCCTGACCTACTTGGCGCTCTGAGGGGCTGCGCCAAGGGGGAGGGCTGTCCGCCTGTCACTCACGCCAGCACTCAGTGGGCCCTCAACAGTATATGATGAAGGGTGGAGACGGTGAGGAGGGGGGGACATCCACACGGCCAGCGCCAGGCCTCACCATTAAGTGCTGTCAGCGACACGTGGTGCCCAGGTCTGGGTGAAGGGAGGCACCTGGCCCAGCTCACGTCCTAAAGTCTCACTCTGGAACAGCGCCCCCTTGCCACGGTCAATTCCCAGCTATGAGGGTCACTTTAAAAGCACAGGACACCCTCCTACGAGCCTTGCTCTTTCCCCTTCACTCAGAGGTGGGTCAGGGCAGGGGAGGAGCCGCGGGCAGTCATTCTGCCCCTGAGCCTGCACCCTTCCCAGCCAAGGAGGGGAAAAAAGCTGTCCACTGAGCCAGCGTTAGCGCTCGGGAGGCCAGGACGGCACAGCTCGTGTGGTGGCCTCAGGGCTGGGCGGCTGCTCCATGCCACTCACCAAGTCCCCTGGCAGTGTCTGTGACATGAGCCGCCTCTCCTGACAGTCTCCTGCTCTTTTCTGCACTTCTGGGCACTGCGAGCCATCGAGGGACCGATACAGAGACCACGTTCCCAGCGTGTGCAGATGGCCTCCAACACGCCAGCCCACCTCCAACATGCCATCCTGCCTCCACTGTACCTGGTGACCAGTGTAGATGGCCCCCTGCCTGCACCCTGTCACCCTCACCTCCACTGTACCCAGTGACCAAACCACCCAGAGCCCTTGAGCACACAGGTTCTCTGACCTCGCTAAGGTGCTCCTTCTGCTACGGGTGCCGGGGCATGTGCAAAAGCCAACTCACACAGGCGGTGGAGGTTCCCAAGCACCCAGTGCTCATCCCACCCTGTCACCTAAACCCACGCTTACCCAGACGCCCTCAGAGATGAGCGACTGGCCAGGCAAATGATGCATGTCGTACAGCAGAGTGCAGTGCCGGGAAAAAGGACAGGTGACAACAATAAAAACGAAAAAATACACACCTGTACACACGTGGAAACCCTGCTGGCGTAGCAGTTAAGTACTACGGCTGCTAACCAAAAGGTCAGCAGTTCGACTCCACCAGGCGCTCCTTGGAAACCCTATGGGGCAGTTCTACTCTGTCCTACAGGGTCACTATGAGTCAGAATCAACTTGATGGAAGCGGGTTTGGTTTTGGGTTTTTTTCCTACATATACTTATCTACCGTAAGTGAAAGCAAACAAGCAGGAGATGCCTGTAAACACGCGTCTGCTCCCACGGGCTGACAGGTCAGGGAAGCAGCACAGATTCACAAGTGGCTTTCCCTTATCTACACCCTCTTCTAACTCCTGAATTTTGAACCACGTGAATGGATTACCTACTTCAATGAAAACGAATGGTCTGTTTACACCGACACGGGCAGGGACCAGGTCTAGTCCGCCTGCGGGACCTGCCATGGCAACATATACAGAACCGCACTGAGACTGTGCAAAGACGCAGACGCCTTCTGCACCCCTGGGTCTGCTGGCTCACTCACTCTGCACAGGTGGGCAATGGCCGGCCTTCACAAAGGGGCTTCTGGCTGTCCTCTGTGGAAACCCCTGGGAAAAGGGGCATGAGAGTTCTCCTGTGAGCTCAGACGCTGACCGGGCAGTGGCAGACAGGAAGACACGGGCCTGGTCCCAGGCGGCCCCGCTGTGCTATTTCAGGCCATTCGCGCCTTCCAGCACCTCGAGCTCATCAGCAGAGTGAGCGCCAACCTAGCACTAAGCTGAAAGGTGGCTGCAGACGGGAGAGCTCAGAGCATGCTGCTGGCAAGACCGATGACTCCAAGACTATCAGGTAACCCCAAAACGTCCTTGGGAATTTTACTGGAGACTCAGAGCTTTCAAGAAAACCTAGAATTCTGGTAACACATAAATACATCAACACACTAGAAAGTGAAGGAACGTGATAGTGGCGTGGGGCAGAATCCCGCTTCTTTCTTCCCGGTCTGGAACCAGGTGCTGTACAGAGCACATACAGGCGTACTGAAGAATGAGGTCCACGGCAGCAAACACGTCGACAAAAGCTCACAACACTGCTGTTCACATCTCAGACTCTCAGCGGGTCCCTCTCGGGACCTCTAGGCTGACACAGGCACTCTCTGGTCACCTGGGGCACAGCAGCTTCCCCGGGGAGCTCCCTGAACCGCAGCACTCAGCTCCACCCCAGGGCCTCTGACTCCACACGTGGGTAAGGCCAGTCCAGGCAGGGAGGAGGCATGTAAATAACACAGGAAAAAGTGGAAAACACACACACACACACACACACACACACACACACACACACAAGGAGGCATACAGTGGATGAAAACTAAGAGAAGGGAGAAATTAATTCTGATGCAGGGAGGGGGTGGAGCAGGGCGAGAAGGGGGCTGGGAGGGAGTACGGTGGAGGACTCGGCTGCAGGACAGAGCGGGGAGGCAAACGCAGCAGCGGCAGGGACTTCTGAGCCTACCAACTGCCTTTGGCAGAGCTGCTCCCAGGGGAAGCCGAGTGCTGTTGCTCAAATCACAGCAGCAAACAGGCAACCATGCTCCTTCAGAGCCTTAAAGACCATCTCAAGAACAGATCTGACGCATTGAACACTAATGATAGAAGACAAGTTGTGGAATGACAACAAGGGCATCATACATGAAGAAAGCAAGAAGTCATTAAAAAGACAGGAAAGAAATAAAAGACCAAAATGGATGTCAGAGAGACCCTGAAACTTGCTCTTGAACATCGAGTAGCTTCAACAAAAGGAAGAAATGATGAAGTAAAAGAGCTGAACAGAAGATTTCAAAGGCAGCTCGAGAAGACCAAGTAGAGTATTATAATGACATGTGCAAAGACGTGGAGACAGAAAACCAAAAGGGAAGAACACGGTCGGCATTTCTCAAGTTGAAAGAATTGAAGAAAAAATTCAAGCCTCGAATTGCAGTACTGAAGGATTCTACAGGGAAAATATTAAACGACACAGGGAGCATCAAAAGAAGATGGAACACACAGTTACTGTGCCAACAGGAACTGGTCAGTGTGCAACCATTTCAGGAGGCAGCATTGATCAGGAACCAGTGGTACTCAAGGAAGAGGTCCAAGCTGCACTGAAGGCACTGAAGAAAAACAAGGCTCCAGGAATAGACGGAATACCCACTGAGATGCTTCAACAAACAGATGCAGCACTGCAAGTGCTCACTCATCTACGCCAAGAAATTTGGAAGACACCTACCTGGCCAGCCGACTGGAGAGATCCATATTTATGCCTATTCCAAAGAAAGGTGATCCAACAGAATGCGGAAATTGTCAAATAATATCATTCACATCACATCAAGTTAAAATTTTGCTGAAGGTCATTCAAAAGCGGCTGCAGCAGTACATTGACAGAGAACTGCCAGAAATTCAAGCTGGATTCAGAAGAGGACGTGGAACCAGGGGTATCACTACTGATGTCAGATGGATCCTGGCTGAAAGAGAATTCCAGAAAGATGTTTACCTGTGTTTTTACTGACTATGCCAAGGCATTCGACTGTGTGGATCATAACAAATTATGGATAACATTGCGAAGAACAGGAATTCCAGAACACTTAATTGTGCTCATGTGGAACCTGTACATAGATCAAGAGGCAGTCATTCTAACAGAACAAGGGGATACTGTGTGGTTTAAAGTCAGGAAAGGTGTGTGTCAGGGTTGTATCCTTTCACCATACCTATTCAATCTGTATGCTGAGCAACTAATCTGAGAAACTGGACTACGTGAAGAAGAACGGGGCATCAGGATTGGAGGAAGGCTCATTAACAACCTGTGATATGCAGATGACACAACTCTGCTTGCTGAATGTGAAGAGAACTTGAAGCACTTACTGATGAAGATCAAAGACCACAGCCTTCAGTATGGATTACACCTCAACATAAAGAAAAAAAAAAAAATCCTCACAGTTGGTCCAGTAAGCAACATCATGATAAACAGAGAAAAGACTGAAGTTTTCAAGGATTTCAGTTTACTTGGATCCACAATCAACACCCACGGAAGCAGCAATCAAGAAATCAAATGACGCATTGCACTGGGCGAATCTGCTGCAAAAGACCACTTTCAAGTGTTGAAAAGCAAAGATGTCACCTTGAAGACTGAGGTGCCCCTGAGCCAAGCCATGGTGTTTTCAATCGCCTCATATGCATGCGAAAGTTGGACAATAAATAAGAAAGACCGAAGATGAATCGACACCTTTGAATTGTGGTGTCGGCAAAGAATATTGAATATACCGCGGACTGCCAAAAGAACAAACAAATCTGTCTCGGAAGAAGTACAACCAGAATGCTCCTTAGACTCAAGGATGGCGAGACTATGTCTCACACACTTTGGACATGTTATCAGGAGGGACCAGCTCCTGGAGAAAGACATCATGCTTGGTAAAGTAGAGGGTCAGCGAAGAAGAGGAAGACCCTCAACAAGACAGACTGACACAGTGGCTGCCACAACGGGGTCAAGCATAAAGATTGCGAGGACGGCGCAGGACCGGGCGGGGTTTCTTTCTGTCGTACACAGGGTCGCTGCGCGTCAGAACTGACTGGACGGCACCTAACAGCAAACAGATAACTCCCAGTAACGTTGATCTATCTCTCCCTGCCCGATATGACTATTCCTAGGTTAATGTCTGATCACATCTTTAATCAAATACAAATACACACAGACGCATACCTCGTCCAGCTGTCTTGAAGAAACCAGACTATCTTCATAAGCAGGAAACTGACAACCTGCTTTACAACTGCAAAAATGACTAATTTCTTCTTCGCACTGTGCCATTATTTTGCAATTTGCCTCCGAGCTTCCTAAATCCATCTGCAGGGTCTCGCCGGCGCTGCATTCCACACATGGACTGCGCTTTCCGGCTGGCAGGACCCCGGCCGCCTCCTCCTGGGAATCCAGGGACGTCTGGGCGCTCTTCTCCATTCCGGCCTTTTTCAGCCTGGGAAGGAACTTCCCAGACTCAAGCTCCAACTTCCCATAGAAAGGGCCTTCTTTCTCGGCATCTTCTTCGAGAGGCTTCAGGTCTGCCTGTGGGTCCTGGAAGGCGTCCACCTGAGAAGGGACGGGGACACTCGCTTCCTCTTTCTCAGACTCAGACTCCGACTCGCTCCCCCCACCCGGGGACAGCTCAGATGCAGAAATGGGGCGAAAGTGGGTCCGGGGAGAGATGCGGATGGCCCTATACTGAGTCCTATCGACGCCGCATGTCCTGGGGTGGAACACCTCGCCGTCCGAGTCACAGCAGAGGATGGACTTGGGCTTAAAACTGGGGCTGAAGGAGGCAATCCCTTCAGGTTCAAAGGAGCACTCGACGTGGAGGACCTGTGAGAGCGGACTGCTCAGGCCCAAGGAGGAGAACGGACACTCCAGCCCAGGGTCCTCAACTTGGAAGTTGCCACACGCGCCCAGCAAGTCTTCATGGAAGATGAAAGAAATCCCCTTATTCCACCCGCCCTCCCCGCTCTTGGGTGGGTCGCTCTGTTCAAAGGACACCAAGGGCCTCCACAGCTGCCTGTGGCCTGGAGCAAAGCTGTTTCCGGGCGTCATGAAGACATCGGTGCCTGCGATGGTCACAACATCGGAGGCGGCACACTGCAGCAGGCTGCCCCTGGAGGGGCCAGGCGGCACCACGGCCCACTCCCCCTCACTGCTGAAGGTCTTGAGCTCCCCATAGACGCCCCCTAGAATGAAGGCGCTCTCCTTCTCCTGGGCTGCGTCCCATGGCCTCGAGGGCGTCGTGTAGTCACCCCCATCCACCTCTGCCGACTCGCTGGGGGCGAACACGCGTTTCTCCAGGCCTCCCTTCTGCCCCTCCCACAGACGGTACTCCGACCTCTGCACAGCCTTGCTGGCTTCCTGGAGGGCGTCGGTTTTTGCCTCAGCGTCCAGACAGCAGCAGTAGTTATTCACGTCTGCAGAGAACAACTCGCCGTCCATCCTGTCTGTCTCCGCCGCGGCCACCGGGTTCCCGCCCGCCACGTGTGTCCAGATGCCCTTCATGACCCCTGAGTGGTAGCTGTCCCCACGTGGACTGCTCCCACCACACACCTGTGCAGTCTCAAAGTCTCTGCTTTCCGGTTTTCGTTCTAGCTGAATTCCACAGACAGATTCTAGTTTAGATTTCTTTTTGAAAACTAATGTAGGAATTTCTCCCAAAGTTCTACTGTTTTGCTGGCAAGCTTCATCTTGCAAAAAATCTAGAAGTTCTTCATCTATGTAATTTGACGAGACCCTAGGGACTACATAATTAATATCCTCTGCGTTAAACTGCGTGGACTCCTCAAACTGGACACTCAGCGTCTCGTTGTCTGAACGTGTCTCTTCCGAGTGGGACCAGGGACTACACGTTCTCGTCGAAAGATTGGAACAGTGTTCGTTTTCTTCAAAGGCACTATTTTTGGTCCATATTAGCAATCTAGATTGTGTTTTCCCAAGCACATTAGCACTAGAATCTGTATTTTCGTTTCCCATGTTGAGTGTTTCAAAAGAAAAGGGTAGAACAGAATCACTGCATTGCACTTCAAACACTGAAAAACAAGAGTTTACACCACATCCTTCATTAATGTCTGAGAAGAGCTCGTGATTGCCAGCCAGCAAGTGTGAGCTGAGCATCGTGCCGTCCAAGAGTGGAGAGAGCCGGATCGGAGAGTCTCCCCCGAAGCTCTCGGCGTCGGCGTCGCCGGAGCTGGACGAGCAGCAGTCCCAGAACTGAGCCAGGTTCCCAGCACCTCCCTGTAGGAGCAGGCCCTCGGCGCCCCCCGCGCTGGTGGGGTCTGTCCATATTGCACGCTCCCCTTGCAACTCCATTCCATCTAACACTATGCAACATTCTGCCTCAAAATCCATCCTCTCTTTGCCTTTCTGCCGAATCATATTCAAGATCCGACTTTCTCCTTGCATTGTTTCTGAGGCACCAGGATCCAACATGGATTGATCAATGTCCACTTCATAGAAGTGTGTGAATTCTGACAGATGAATGTCATCCAGATATTTGTCGTCCTCTGGCGGAGAACAGAACGAGGTCCCAGAGAGGTCAGCAGCCTCGCTGACCGCAGGCATCTCTACAAAGTGACCGTCAATGAAGGTGCCTGCCGCGAGGTACGTCTTGTGGGTGCGGCTGCCGACACACAGGCCGTGCATGGCCTCTGACAGCTCCTCGCCGGCTTCCGGCGTCAGCGTGCTCGGCTCTGGCCTGTGGCGGTACGTGGTCTCCAGCTTGCTCTTTCTGCTCGAGGGAACGAAGTATTCGGCGATGGGCTCCGTGTACCACAGTGGCTCCTCCTTGTACTCCCTGTCACTCCTGCTCTCCAGGCACAGGTCCTTTCCGTCAGTCCCGCCAGCGTCTCTCCTCCCCGACTCCTTGAGCGGCCTCTTTCCCCGTCTGCACAGCTGCTTGACAGAACCACTGCCACTGCTGCTGCTGCTGCTCCCCGTGCGGACGCCTCTCTCCGCCTTCTCGCCGCTCTTTGCTGGAAACCGGCTCTGCCCGCCACGCCCCTTCTTGTTCCGCGTCTCCCGTGCCCGGTGCCTCGCTTTGACGCACTTGGCGGGCACCCTCGGCTCTCCTTGGGTGCCGCTGGAGCTTGAGCCGGCTTCGCTGGAGCCCGAGGACCAGGAGCGAGGGCGGGCCTTCCCCTCTGGCCTGTGCCGGGCCTGCTTCTTGTAGGACATGGATGGTTCCTCTGCCATGCCATTGCTGAGTGCGCCCTCCTTCTTGCTCCGACCGCCACCTGGGACCATCTCGTGTGCGCTGGCGGGAGCTCCCCTGCCCCTGTCCCTGGCGGCCTCACTCTCACTGTGGCCATCCTTGGGAGAGGACGTGTCTGTGCCGGCAGGTGGGGCTGTGGATGATGAAGAGGGGCTGGAGTGAGAACAGACTTTGGACTTGTTCCACACGGTCATGATTTCCTGCAGGCAAACTGTTTTCTCAGAAAGTGGTGGGAATGCTTCGTAGTACCTGAAAAACAGAGTAAAGGTTCAAAGGTGAGCACTTAAATATGTCAGGTATTGCAAAACAACATCACCAATCAGAGAAACAGGTATCTCATTTTAACAGGATCAACATTTACAACACCCACAAATTATCAACTTTTAAATCACTTCTGATACGCCTTACATTAAAACGAGCCCCGTGTATCAGGTACTTTTATGATCAACACTGTGATAAGCACTACGGCCTTAGATTAAAAAGATTCAGAATATTCAGAAAATAAGTAAGATGACTATTTTGGGCTTCAAAGTTAACATTTTAATTAAGAAATTAAAAATCACAACTAAAATGTAGTAGGAAGAATTATGTCTTTTGAGTGAGAAACATCTGCATTTGAATCTCAGCTCAGAATCCTGGCTTGGTCACTTACAAGCTGTGTGACCTTAGGCAAGTTACTTAACCTCTCTGTGGCACAGACCTCATCTACAAATGGGGTGATAATAGTCTACCTCACAGAGCTGCTGTAAGGATAAAAGGGATTAAAATGTGAAATAGAGCAGCATCTTGAGTGACGGCCACTGTCGTCGCGATTTGCTCTTGAGAGGCTAGCACGGGGCCTGGTGTAAAGCAGGCCCTCGGACGTGGCAGGGGTGATTATACTCAGTGCTTAAAAAAGAGGACGCCGGCGAGACCCAGAACAGAGTGGGCTGCAGTGAGCCCTGTGGAAGCCCCAGAAACACAGCCACTCAGCAATGCCGACTGTGGGGCCGCGAGCGAGCAGGTGGGCACACTGTGCTCGTGGAAAGCAGTCTGTTTGGACCTGCCAGACCTCAGCAGGTGGCGCAGGAACCAGGAGGGCTGGCTTAGGGGGCTGGCAGCCAGGAGAGCAGTGTCTGATGTGTTGGACAACCACTGGCCGCTCAAGGCTTCAGAGTTGGACAGACTGCAACGGGTGACCTAGAGTCAGGCTGGGGCGCTACCAGGGAGACGCTGTTCTGCCGGAGACAGTCAAGGTCATCAAGCAATGGCCAAGGGCCTCGTGACCAAGGACCAGCCTTGGCTCTGCTCCTCAGTCTACACAGAGCTGTACAGCACAGACTAGCCTGGGTGCCTCCCTGCAGCTTTAAACGTTCCAGTACTCACGTTAAAAGAGTAAGAAGAACATTAAAAAAGAGTGAGAAATTAATTCCATTAATACATTCAATCCAGTATATCCAAAGTATTATTTTCAACATTTCATTTCAACATGTAATCAATATTTAAAAATGATCAGTGCGGTGTCTTACGTCTTTTAGGCTAAGGCCTTGGAATCGGTGAGTACGTGACACTCCTTACAGCAGGCCTCCATCTGGCCAGGCTGCAGCTCGGCAGCCCAGCAGCACCCGGCCGCCGTGCCAGGCAGCGCAATTCTGAGCAACCACTGAACACTATCTGCTTAGTTCTCAGGGTTTCGGAAGATTCCCATAAAGTGTACAGTAAGGGACTCTCCTCATAATACAGCTAACCTGAATACAAACTGTCCACTGAGAAGGAGCCCTGGTGGCGCAGCGGCTAAAGTGGTTGGCCGCAAACCAAAAGGTCGGCAATAAAGATGTGGCAGCTTCCATAAAGATTACAGCCTAGGAAACCTCACAGGGCAGTTCTACTCTGTCCTATGAGATCACTGTGAGTCGGAATCAACTCAGTGGCAGTGGGTTTGGCTTGGTTTTTACTCATGAAGAACAAACTACAGATGCTTTTAGGAGGCAGGTTTGGCAAGGGCAGGGGTTTGCCCGTGTTCCCTTGGTTCTCAGCAGGCAGAACTCACTTTCCTTGTCTGTACAACAAGAATCATCAGACTTTGTTGCAGCTGTCTCCAAGGACTGCTTGAATTTCAAAGGTGACAGTACAGGGACGGACTTAGTAAACAATAAGCTTGCCTGTTTCACGAGCACTTACTGCACACGTCCTGTAGGGACAGGACCATTTGACTCAGTGTCAAGCACACAAGTGCTCAACGTGTTTCCTGATTACAAGATATGGAAACAAGCAGATGACAAACGAGCGCTGTACCCCACGCAGCAGTCGCGAGTCCCGCCCTCACCAGCACACACTCTGCCACTGAGCACCATCATACATACATTTCCACTTGATCCTTTGCTGAAGGGGACAGTTCTGCCTCTGGAGAGGGAGACCCCTCCAACTTTTTGTGAATCTTCTCTTCTGTTATGAAACAAAAATTCAGAAAGATTTGTCTTATATCTAGTTAATAATGCCTGTGTTTTTCAAAGCTTCTCAAGTAATGTTAATCAGAAGTTAAACAAGCTTTTGTGGTTTAAAAAGTGAACTCTATACCAGTTTGTCTTTTTAATAAAAATCCGTTTCTTCGTTCGGTGTGTCAGAGGGCCTCTCTGGCTCAGCTGCGTGAGCATCAGCCCATCTCCTGACCGACATAGAGCTCTAAAGCACTTAGCTGAGAGGCCAAAGCCCCCCGAGCACTTCCCAGGTCCACAAGGAGAGAACATCAGACATCTGTTTACATCCAAAAACATCTTCCCACAGAACTGTACAGTTATGGACTTTACATAGAGCCACCCTGACAAACACTAAGCTGTAAAGAAAACCCCTCATTACAGTTAGCTCTCCACTACTCGACATCGCGGTGAGCACAGGCTCCTTTAAGTTACAACAGGAGCAAAGGGCTCTGCTCTCAGGGTAGCTCACCACACGGCCTTAGACTAAAAACAAGCAAGCACACACGTGTACACGCGCACGCACACATACATACGTGCACACTCACGTACTCCCAGGTAAGCATACACACGCAGACACACGTGCCTACATGTGCACACTCACGTACTCACAGGTAAGCATACATACACGCGCGTACATACGTGCACACTCGCGTACTCACAGGTAAGCATACACACGCAGACACGCAGGCACGCACACTCAGCACAAACGTAAGCATATGCATGCCCTCACGTGCACGTACATAAGCACACGCAGACACGCATGCGCACACATGTACTCACATGTATGCACACACGCGTACACACATAAGATACAGACATGCACACACGTACTCACGCACACACCCATCAACACACACGCAGACCCGCGTGCACACGCACAGTAGCCCCTAAGAGGACAGCTCATAGCCTGGTGGGCAGCAAAATGGCCATGAAGCGGGCGAGGGGACCTGAGGGAACCTGGATCCTGATACCACAGCTGCAGGTCTGTTTAGGGCTGGCAGAAGAGCCAGGGAAGGAAACGTGAGGGTCCATGAGTGAGAACGGCTTCGTGGGCTCATCAAGTTTGCCTTTCCAAACACTTCTAGAGCCAAGACGGAAGTTTCTTCCAAACTGGAAAGAGTTTGTGTCAGCACCTTTGGAGGCGTGGGTGGGGAGAGGAGAGACGACCTCACATCTGCAGACAGTGAGAGGCCTCCCACCCACAGGAGCAGGAGTGGAAGAGGTCACCCTCGGGGAACAGGGACCGCTACCACTGACAGCTAAGGACCAGGCCTGAACACAAAGACGGGGTCCTTGCCAACTTCCTCTTTTGTCAGTTCTAAGATGTGCTCAGCAGGGACTCCTTGGTGGAGGTCCCGCGCATGCCCAGCCCAGCCCCGTGGTTGGGTCCCGCGCTTGCCCAGCCCGGCCCCATGGTGGGGTCCCATGCCTGCCCGGCCCCATGAGCTCTCACCTTGCTCACTCTGCAGGTCCCTCAGCCTGGAGCACAGCTCCTCCACTAGGGTCTCGATGCCCGAGCTCTGCAAGAGAACAAAACACAAATCAATACACCGCCAGGTATACAGATGCCAAGTCTCTGAATGACTGTGTTTTAATACAAAGCTTTTACACGTCCTCCAATTCCCAAAGAAATATATGATCAATATTTAAGTGAACTTAAGAGTTTTAAAAGGTCAGTCACCATCGAGAGCATCATCGAACACCGAGGTGAGCTAAGCCCTCTCCCAGGCTCAATACAGAGACATTCACAAAACCTCAGGCTGGTCCTCCAGGAGCTCAGCCGAAAGAAAACAGGGTGGCGCTTTTCTTTATTAAGGCAAATGCTCAGGACTGCGGAAGAGCCGCAGGGCACGCAGCAGTCAGGACTGAGGTCGCTGTGGGCACGTCGTTCTCTGGGGCCAGAAGTGCGATCCAGAGCTCTACAGAGAGTGGGACCCATGTGATGGAGCGTGCCTGGGACAGTCTGCAGCCAGAGCCCACGAAAGAGTCAGCCTCTAAGGAGAATCCATGCTGGGCCTTTCAAAAGTTATCTAACTTTTAAATTCTCATTTTCTCAAGACGAAAGAGCTCTTTTACAATGGACAAAAGAGCAAACGCACGGCTTAGCAGCTTGGGTTTACTCAGTGGCCAGAAGTGCCATGTGAGCGGGCGCCGAGCCGTCCCGGCGGCCACAGCCCAGAGCAGCCCAGAGGACAGGGAGCTCAGCTGGCCCTGCCCTCGCCGGGCCTCGCGGGGCTAAAAATAGAACCCAGCCATTCACTCACTCAGCGGGAATGACTCAGCACAAAGCCGCAGACATCTCCACAAGGGACCCGCGGCCACACAGTGTGAGCAGCACACGGGGACGACTGTGCGAACCGTCAGCTGTGAACACCAGCGCTGACTTTCCATCCCAACACCTCAGACGTTCACAGGAAGATGGCCCGCGGGAGCAAGGGGACAAGCCCGACGAGGCGGCCCTCCCTAGGGACACGCCTACAGACCGTGGCAGAATCAGTCATGAACAGCGCTCCGATCACAGTCCCACAAGCAAGCGGCTGCTTACCACAACGTGCAGGGGGCAACCAGGACAGCAGCTGCGCGCCATTCCCTCCGAGCAGGAAAGCCACACCGGGGTCAGCTGACTGCTCTGTGGGCGCAGGAGGCCGCCCGGCCTGCGTCCGTACACCAAGTGCCGGTCTCAGAGAGAACGCCAGCCTCTGGGGACCACTCATCTGGCTTCTCCAGGCTGAAGTGGCTGCCACTAGGCACACCACCCAAGTGACCACAAGCACCTGACGACTGGCCGGGGACGTCTACGCTGTCTTGGAAAGGACCTCCACACGGCCATGAAATGCAGTTGTCTGGACGGCGATGTGGCTAGAAGTGTGTGCGTGTGCTTGTGTCTAGATGTGTGTGCATACGCGTGTGTACATGTATGTGTACACACACAAACAGCAGGAGGAATAATGAGCTTACTCTATGCAAAAGTCAACCCTCCCCCCCAGGTTTTTGTTTTCTTTGCTTGAACACTGCACCCTACCTCTATTTAAGAAACCATGAGAACACCAGCTGTCACCACAGCGGAGCTGGGATGCACGCAGGGTGTCGGCAGTGGCCATGGCCCCCATTGTCCCCTGGCAGGGACTCTAAGGTAAAGCCAAGGTTGCATCCACTGCCCAGAACAACCAGACGTACCTGCTAGATGCCATCAATAAGTACAATAATCACTGATGTGCACAGAGCTGAAGTGTTGATGAGCAACCGCGTTCGCTCTCTCGACTATGATGTGAACTCTTAGCCACTAATGATGAGGTTTTGATAGCACATCACGTCTGTAAGGGCATTCGAGAGCCTTGAAGGACGTACTGAATCAGACTCAGTGTTTGGTGACAACTCAGGCGACACAAGAACACGACCCCTGACCCCTGCACAGCTGGCGCACTACCCTCCTCGCCGCGGGACCAGTGCACCGACAGCCTCTGAGGCTCAAGTGACAGCACCCAGAGCCGAGTATGGCAAACTTCACGGGGCAACCGGCAGTCTCAACGGAGGGGCAAGCCGCCTGTGAACATGTAACCTCTCCTGGGTCTTGCGCCCACCCACGCCCGCAGCGGCCTCCGCGTGCACGCAGGCCACATGGAGAGGCCCTGCCCTCACGGAGCCTCGTTCCATCAGCACTTCCTTCTTGGAGATGGGCCCGGGTCTGGACTCCTGCCCTGCCACCTGCCTACGGGCAACAAAGGGGACATAGGTCACTGTCCCTGGGCCCCAGACGCCGTCCTGTAATTAAGCATCTTGAAGGTAAGCCTGGACAACATGGCATGAGGTCCCCGAGTGCTGTCCACCCAGAACGACATCACATGAGGCCCACCCACCAGTCCCGTCAATGTCAGCGCCCGAGCCTGTCCCCCTGGATTTACCTAAAATGCCGTTCATGCTGCTGTGACCCGAGTCTGAGGTGGGGGTAGTCAGGAAGATGGTCCTGCCAGGTCCACCACTGCGTCCTTGCCGCTGCCAGCCCTGCCTCACTACAGTGGAGCTGGAGTCTGGTCAGACACAGCCACCAACAAGGGCCTCTTGCTCCAGGGTCCTCGCAGCCCAACCTCCACGTCTCCTGGGCTCCTCCCTCCCCCCGGCTCACGCCTGCTCAACCACCACCCTCTCGCTCGCTCTTCGCCCGAAAAACAAGTCTTCCATGGAGAACCTGTGTGGGTCGGACAGGCCCTCAACGCCGGCCCTGCGGTCACTAGCCTACATGATACCCAGCAGTACTGAGTGGACTGTTCCACCCACGGGCACCAGGGTGTCTCACGGAAGGGTCAGAGAAATCTGGGTTTGAGTTTCGTGCAGATTAGCCACATGACCCCATTTACCATCCAAGTCTCAATCTCCACCGCCGTGAAGTGGGGACGACACCAGCCACACACCTCCTGTCAGCCAGTTATAACACTCCCAGGGCTGGCGCCTCATTTCTTTTCCTTCCCATCTACCATTTCTTTGTCTTTTTGTTCTGCCTTCTGTGGGAGTTCCTCAGCTGTATCTTCCAACTGCTCTACTGAGCCTGGCGCTGCAATGGTTAAGCACTCGGCTGCGAACCAAAAGGTCCGCGGTTTAAACTGACCAGCCGCTCCATGGGAGAAAGACGTGGCAGTCTGCTCCTGTAAAGATTACAGCCTTGGAAACCCTATGGGGCAGTTCTATTCTGTCCTATAGGGTCGCTATGAGTGGGAATCGATTCGATGGCAATGGTTTTTTTGGGTATTGTCATGTTTATAATTTTCAAGAGATACTCTTGTTCCTTCTTTAAAACAACCTTTTCTTTGACAAGAAACCTTCCAATCTACCTCTGGCCTGTAAACCCACGTGTCCGCGTTCTGGCCGCCAGGTGGGATGAAGAGAGGATGGCTCACTGATCCATCTGCCGACCTTCTTTAACCCCCCACTTTTATTATGGCATCTCATGCTCTCTCTCAGGGAGGGGCAGGTACCCCTGTGAACCACGCCTCCTGGCACTGCCCCAGACCAGGCCCCCAGTGCCGCTCCTCTTGGCTAGTGGGGTACCAGCACTTTGACAGAAGACGAGCCCGAGAAGTGCCTGCAGGTGGCCCTGCCCCCTGTGGGCGCCAGCTCTGGAGTCCCTGCTGCCATGGGAAGAAGCCCACACCAGCCGTGTGGAGAGGACAGAGCCGCCGCCTCCCAGCAGTCCCTGCGGCGGGCCAGACAAGCAGGCAGAGCGACCCTGGGGGGCCCGGCTCCCGCTGCCACTGGCTGCACCTGCATGAGACCCCGCACGCGACCAGCACCAGAAGCTCCCGAGCCCACACTAACCCACAGAACCCTAAGCAAACGAGATGCCGGTGCTAAACACCACCTCCCCGTTCTCGGGAACTCTGCTAAGCGGCAACAACCCAGCACTGACTTCCATGCTCACCTCCTGCTTCCTGCTTCCTGCCCTGCCTGAGCTCCTCTGGACTCTCTAGGCCACAGACTGGAGTCAGCAGATCAGCAAGGAAGCCCCAGTAGACAGGGATGAGATGATGACTGGTTTTCACATACTGGACAGGATGCGGTCACTTCCACTCCTGAATGACTAGGCGTTGTTACACTGTGAGCTAAACTGACGTTAAGCCAACAGACGACAGAGCACAGGTGAGAGACCGGAGAGCAGAGGGCAGGGCTCGCAGACACCTGCCCGCCCCCCTCCCAGGCTGGGTGCCCAACACACTGACATCTGCACCCAGGCACCCATTGCACGGGGCTGCGTTCCCACCCTTGGACACAGGCCTGAGCTACCAGGAGGCACAGGGACCAGCGCTAGCCGTCTCTGACAGCCACAGCTTCTTAATGGGTCTCTCTGACTCTGTCCAGCCTCAACACAGCAGCCAGTGTGATCCTACTAACATCTAAGTCAGATCACACGGCTCCTCTGCTCAAAATCTCCCCGAGAAAAAGCCCGAGTTCTATCCACAAGTTTCCGTAAACGCCTCGGCTCCATCCACACACAGGGAGACACGGTCCGAGCGTCCTGGGCAGGGCGGTGAGGACAGCCCAGAGGTGGGTGGGCCCTCAGCTTCTCGGTCACCACAGGCGTCTTAGGAGCCTGGCCTGGAGGGCAGCGTCGTCTCTCACAATGTGTATAAAGCACCTGGACTGTCGGCCGGCAAGTTCTCAGTGCTCAACATGTTTCCTAGCATTGTTCTGCTCTTATTATCAAGGAGTTAAGTTCAGAAACCAGTGTTCAAAGAAACGATCAATACCTATGGCCAATATGAACCTTGAACGCAAACCGTCATGAATACTGTCCACTGTTTTATACGTCTGACCCCGTAAGACTGCAGACAGTGCACACGCAGACACCAAAGGTGGGCTTGGGTGGATACAAGAAGACGAGCAAATGAAACAGCAAGACCCCTGCACCCAGGGTCCAAACCCTGGCCAGGTTCTCTCTCAATGAAACAGCAAGACCCCTGCACCCAGGGTCCAAACCCTGGCCAGCTTCTCTCTCAATGAAACAGTGAGACCCCTGCACCCAGGGCCCAAACCCCGGCCAGGTTCTCTCTCAACGCAACAGTGAGACCCCTGCACCCAGGGCCCAAACCCTGGCCAGGTTCTCCCTCAATGAAACAGTTAAGACCCCTGCACCTGGGGCCCAAACCCTCGGCTTGCTCTTTCTCTCTCAATGAAACAGTGAGACCCCTGGCACCTGGGGCCCAAACCCTCGGACTGCTTTCTCTCACTCCCTCAATGAGCCGGACCGTGTCAATGACCAGGGCAAGCCCTGCTTCCTTTCAAAACTAATTGCACTGAAACAGTCATCACTGTCCTCTGCTCCACTCATACCAAGCATGGCCTCAGTAAGCCTCCAATCTTCTAACCACCTCCCAAAGCAATAGATGAAATCCTAGCTTTGCTTCAGTTTTAAGTGGCTCAATAAAAATAAAACTGGATTATAATTAATTATCAAAAACAAAACAAACAATATAAAAAAAAAAACACACCTAACTTTGAGGATAGAGAAAACAGGACTGAGTAAGCTTGAGGATTCCAAACAGCAGTGGCTGGAGCTGTCCAGAATTCTGTCTTCCATTTCTTACAGGGGGAGGGGAGGGAGGTCTGAGGCTAGCGAACCTGACAGGTATACGCCCGTGTCCACTGACAGCAAAATGAGACAGCGTAGAATCTTAGCACTTAATGAAAAACAGGCATATGGGCAGGGTCTGAGCCCAGGCTTTTCATTAGCCTGGCTGCCTGAGTCACAGTATTCTTTGCTCCTCAGCAGGGCCCTTGCTAACTGTAACCAAAGCAAATGCACAGTATGTCACAGAAAACGGGGATCCAGAACCGCCGCCTGTGTGTCCCAGAGAGCTGCACACTGTCTGTGGGGCTATTGTTTGAAGAAATATTACTTAGACACGAAAAAGAACAAAGAAAATGTAACAGCAAGAACAGACTACATAATGTTAAATGGAAAAAAATACATATGAAAATCTGCATGTACTCTGATTACAACAATGGTACACAGAAGAATGTTCTATAAAACTTTGTATAGATGTTACGTTACGGTGGTAAGATGATGAGTAACTTATTTTTCTAAGTTTCCTGGGCCAAGCTGCCACACTTGTAAATTTCAGAAGCTGCCCTCCTCCCTTCTCATCTCAGGCCCAGACGTGAAATGTAAACTTACCTCATCGGATGCAGATCGAAGACACTGGACAGCAGCCTGCTTTTTCATCTCTTCGAGAGTCAGGTCTGAACACTTCTTCTTACTCTTTCCCCATTTCTTGTAAGCGCCTTTCTCCCAGCCTAGGAAGATGTCGTTCTCCTACAACAAGGTTGGACAAGGCTGAGTGACCACGGCAAACGACCAGCTTCAAGTGCAGCTGTGTCCACGTGCTAACACACACCCTGCCCTGGCGGGCACACACACTCACAGACATCACAGAACACTCACGGCACTTCGGAGCGACCCAGGTCTGTCTGGTGTAGTGAGTATTTAGACTCTTATTAATGTAAGCATTACCATTTAAATTTCAGTATAACTTGTACTTCATACACACAATCCAGGGTCCCCTCTGCCCTCTCCCACTCTTCAGTAAAGAGCATCCCTGCTACTATCAATTTCACGTTTGACAATTAGTCCCTCTCTTCTGTATCCTGTAGTCTGAAAGACAAGAGACAGAATATACATACAAGTAGTTCATGTTAACACTTTATTTTCTCCGATTACATATGCCCATTATAAAAACCTGAAGAACATCTGAAAAGCAGGAATAAAGGAGGGAAGAGTCAGCCATGACCCACGGCCCGGTGGACATGAGCAGTATGATGGCGTCGCTCAGTCTCTTCTGCAGACTTTAAAAAGCACAGTTGAATTCATTCTATTTACTCCCCTTTGTATGCGCTGTCACTGACTACACTGGACACATCGTCTCCACACTACTAACAATGGCTTAGCTACAGAACATTCCAGGAGGTAGGTCTACTCAGCTAACTCCCTAGACTGGGACCTCAGGGACTGTTTTTAATTGCTTTGATGCTTTGTTCTGCCTTTTAAGCCCTTTCCTTTCATGTATTATGACTTAAACCAATGGACAGACAGCAAGAATCAAAGAAAGAACTAGAAAAAACTATAAGACAACCAACTCTAAGAGTGCTTGGCCTATAGCAGGCCCTTAGGAAGTTGGTAATGAATGACTGAAGGAAGGAGTGAATGAATGAGTGAAGGAGTGAATGAGATGGGATAAACGAAAAGCATCATCATCATAATAACACATTTAAAAGGTCTTTTAAAATCAATCACATGTTGTCAACTATCGAAGCTGATTTTTACTTTGATCCAACATATTAAAAAGTGGGAGAAAAGCTAAGAGTAAGAGAAAGAGCCCTCCTGCCACACAGTCATCCTAATCAGCACATCCTAAGCTTATTTTCTTGGGTCTTTTTTCAGATCTCATGAGCCTGGAAGATGTATTTTCAGCTGAGTGGTGTTACTTCCATTTTCCAAGGGAAAACGTGCTTGGCTGAACAAGGGCCATCAGTATACTTGCACAAATAATTTTTCTACCTTCCTTGTTTTAAACACGATGAAAAATAGAGGAAATTATACCATTTTTCTCTGCCTTCAAGATGCTTACAGCCTCACTGCTATGATTTTACCGTCTGGTCCTAGAAAGAACAAGCGCTATCTGCAGAAGATGTCATTGTTAAGAAATATCAGGCTTCATGGATACTCCAGCTAAATGCATTAGATAAATGGAAGTACACTCCCATTTGAATTGTAAGAGTTCTTTATCTACTTTGGATAATATCTTTTAGTATATGATTTGCAAATATTTTCTCCCTTTCTGTTTGTTGCCATTTCACTTTCTGATTGTCCTTTGAAGCATAAGTTTTTAATTCTGATGAAGTCCAGTTTACTTATTTCTTCTTTGATTGCTTGTGTTTTTGGTGTCGTATGTAAGAAAAAACCAAACCCACTGCTGTCGAGTTGATTCCGACTCACAGCAACCCTACAGGACAGAGTAAAAACGCCCACTAGGGTCTCGAAGGCTGTAATCTTCACAGCTTCTCCATCGTCAAAAGGGACGATGGAGAAGCTCAGTGTCATCGGTCGGAACAAAGCCAGGGGCCGACGACGGAGCAGACCATCAATTGCTCATGTGCAACTTCAAACTGAAGCTGGAGAAAATTGGAACAAGTCCACAAGAGCCAAAGTACGACCCTCAGTTTGAATTTAGAAACCATCTCAAGAATACACTTAAAGTGTTGAACACTAACGACCAAAGATCAAATGAGTTGCAGAATGACATCAAGGACTTGATATATCAAGAGAGCAAGAGATCACTAAAAAGACAGGAAAGAAAGAAAAGACCAAAATGGACGTCAGAAGAGACCCTGAAACTTGCTCCTGAACATAGAGTAGCTAAATCAAAAGGGAGAAACAATGAAGTAAAAGATCTGAACAGAAGATTTCAAAGGGTGGCTCGAGAAGACAAAATCAAGTATTATAATGACGTGCAAAGACCTGGAGTTAGAAAACCGAAAGGGAAGAACATACTTGGCATTTCTCAAGATGAAAGAACTGAAGAGAAAATTCAAGCCTCGAATTGCAGTACTGAAGGATTCCACGGGGAAAATATTAAACGATGCAGAAAGCATCAAAAGAAGATGGAAGGACTACACAGAGTCACTATACCAAAAACAATTGGTTGAAGTTCAAATATTTCAGGAGGTAGCATATGATCAGGAACGAATGGTCCTGAAGGAAGAAGCCCAAGCTACACTGAAGACACTAGCAAAAACAAGGCTGCAGGAACTGACAGAATACCAATTGAGATGTTTCAACAAACGGATGCAGCAACGGAAGTGCCCACTCGTCTATGCCAAGAAATTTGGAAGACAGCTACCTGGCCAATCAACTGCAAGAGATCCATATTTATGCCTATTCCAAAGAAAGGTAATCCAACCGAATGCAGAAATTATCGAACAACATCATTAATATCACATGCAAGTAAAATTTTTCTGAAGATTATTCAAAAGCAGCTGCAGCAGTACATCGGCAGGGGACTACCAGAAATTCAAGCCAGATTTAGAAGGGGATGTGGAACAAGGGATATCACTGCTGATGTCAGATGGATCCTGGCTGAATGCTGAGAATACCAGAAAGATGTTTATCTGTGTTTCATTGACTATGCAAAGGCATTCGACTGTGTGGATCATAGCAAATTATAGATAACACCGTGAAGAATGGGAATTCCAGAACACTTAATTGTGCTCATGAGGAACCTGTACATAGATCAAGAGGCAGTTGTTCGAACAGAACAAGGGGATACTGCTTGGTTTAAAGTCAGGAAAGGTGTGTGTTAGGGAAGGAAGATGAAGAAGAATTGATACCTTTGAATTTATGGTGTTGGTGAAGAATACTGAATATACCACGGACTGCCAAAAGAACGAACAAATCTGTCTTGGAAAAAGTACAAGCAGAATGCTCCTTAGAAGCAAGGATAGTGAGACTACGTCTCACATACTTTGGACATGTTACCAGGAGGGACCAGTCCCTGGAGAAGGACATCACGCTTGGTAAAGTAGAGGGTCAGCAAAACAGAGGAAGACCCTCAATGCGATGGACACAGTGGCTGCAACAACAAGCTCAAGCATAGCAACGATTGTGAGGACAGCACATTACCGGGCAGTATTTTGTTCTGTTGTACATGAGGTCACTATGAGTCAGAACGAACTCGATGGCACCTAACAACAACAATCTTTACGGAAGCAAAGTGCCACATCTTTCTCCCACAGAGCTGCTGGTGGATTTCAACTGCCATGGTTGTTCCACAGGGGCTACTCAAAGAGGCTTCAAACCCTGCACTGCCTCCTCAAATAAACAAGTACCCCAGAGTGGTTTCAGTAACATCTGTCACCTCATCAAGAGCAGAGACAAACCCCTCAAACCATCTGCCTGGTGTTTTAAGTGACAACTGACGCTGCTTCCAGGGTCTTCAACTCTGAGAGCTGTTCTCACCAAAAGGCTAACAGTCTCGAGGACACTTGACGCATTGCTTCAGCTGCTGCACTCACACCGATTTCATCAACTCACCAGCTTGTCTGGCTAGCACACGAGCCACTCAGGAACTTACTTTGGATGCAGCCTCATTTTCAAGTCTGTCTGTTGCTTTCCTGGGCATTGGAAATGCTGTTATGAGTGTTTGGTCTGGTAATGTTGACCATATTCACCTAATTTACAACAAAGTAATCCACACTCTACTGTGCCTTACACGTGAGAGCTGAAGCCTACTTTTCTCTTCTTGTTTTATATGATGGGTTTGCACCGGTAATACAATAAAATGTTCCAGTGCCCTGCACATGTGGCACTGGAAACGCTGTCAAGTCACACGGCCTCACTGTGAAGCAATGATATGCAGCACACGGACTTCATGGCCACTACACAACTCTGCCGAGGTCACGTGAGAGCAACCAGAGACACTACATGTGCAAAGGAGCGGGGCTGTGCACCAATAAAACTTTATCTACAGACACTGACATTTAAATTTCATATAGTTTATATGTGCCACAAAACATTCTTCTTCAATTTTTTTCATGCATTGATAATCGTCAAAGCCGCTCTTAGCTTGCGGGCCGTACACAACAGGTGCTGGCCCAGACCTGGCCTGCAGGCTGCAGTGGGGGAGCCCCAGGCTGAGGTGGAGAGGAAGAAAGATGACGGCAGTAAGTCTGGGAAAGGGGACAGAGAAGAGGGGGTAGAGTGAAGAACTACTGATGAGCTGACATTCAGACTGCACAGTGTTATCAGAGTGAATTATGCCCTTCTCCCCCACGACTGCCTCCCAGAGACACTCTACCTCTAGCGAACACAGCCATCTCAGATAAACCCTTCCTTCTCAATGGAAACAAGACCCGAAGGTAAGAGAAAGGAAAGCAGTCTTCTCTTATTCTTTTAGATGTTCCCTTCCCTCTTGCAAAAAACATTTGAGTACCCTCAACGAGCAAGATGCTACACATCCAATACGACTGGTGTCCTCACAAGAGAAGAGACACAGAGGCACAGACACGGGAAAGACGCCACATGAAGACGAAGCAGAGACTGGAGTCATGCTGCCACAAGCCAAAGGATGCCCGGGGCCACCAGAGCTGACGAGACAAGGAAGTGTCCTCCCTAGAGCTTCCAGAGGGAGCACGGCCCTGCCGACACCTTGCTTTCTGACTTCTGGCCTTCTTAACTGCGAGTGAAGAAGCTCCTGTTGTCTGAAGCCCCCAGTTTGTGGTACTCTGATAGAGCAGCCCTAGGACTCAGACAGCTGTACGCTCCCCTCCCACCCCCACCGCCGCCGCCCCCACCGCCGCCGCCCCCACCGCCGCCGCCCCCACCGCTGCCACCTAGGGCGGAAGGTGGAAACCATGAAGGATCGGCACTTGGAAAACATGGTCTCGGTGATAGAAACGATGCCAGAGATCGCATGGTAGAATTTTACAAGGCCAACAACTTCTTCATTGCAAGTATCTTTTTTCAACAATACAAACGGCGACTACGCACACAGACCACACCAGATAGAAGACACGGGAATCAAACTGACTACGTCTATGGAAAGAGATGATGGAGAAGCTCAATATCATCAGTCAGAACAAGGCTGGGGCAGACTACAAAACAGACCGTCAAACGCGCATATGTAATTTCAACTTGAAGCTGAAGAAAATTAAAACAAGTCCACGAGAGCCAAAATGCAACCTTGAGTATATTCCACCTGAATTTAGGGACCATCTTATAACAATAGATTTGACTCACTGAACACTAATGACCAAAGACCAGATGAGTCGGGGGACGACATCAAGGACGTCAGACATGAAGAAAGCAAGAGGTCATTAAAAAGACGGGAAAGAAAGACCAAACGGATGTCAGAAGACACTCTGAAACTTGCTAGTGAACGTCGAGTAGCTAAAGTACCTAACAAAGAACAGCAGCAGCACGTGCATACTTTGTGGTAAATATATTTACTGGCACCGATTCAGCATTCTAGGCTGACACTGCTAACATTACAGCTCTAAGAAACGATGAGTCTTATTAACATTCCCTACGAGGACGTTTATAACTAAAGTACTATGTATTTGACGTATGAGAAGTATCTTCCTCATACCAGGAAATAAAAACTCTTCCACACTTGTGGATTCAACATTTTACTTGCCCCTCCCCCCAAAAGATGTGTATTTTACAATTACTGTAAAGATGATGTTAAATAGTGGAGCCTTGGTAATAAAATTACACGGAATACCACCACCTGGAACCCTGGTGGTGCAGCAATTAAGAGCTCGGCTGCTAACCGAAAGTTTGACAGTTCTTATCCACCAACTGCTCCTTGGAAACCCTATGAGGCCATTCTACTCTGTCCTCTAGGGTCTCTATGGGTTGGAATTGACTCGATGGCAACGGGTTTGGTTTGGTTTTCTGGACTGACCACCACAACAACACATTTTCTCATTTTTAGGTTTAAGCCAATCCCCTCAAAACCGCACTTTACCTAGTTCCCACCAGCCACGGACAGTAAGCGACGTGGAAGCAAGGAAATGCAGTAGCACCAGCTGGAGGTGATGAGGAATGTCGGCAATGAGAAAACAGGCTTGGTAACTGACAGGCGGGACGCTAGGCATCTCTGAGATCCTCCGTATGTGTTCACAGGACTCTGAGGCTTTCTTGTGGTTTGGGGGAACAAAGCCAGCTTCTTCTGTCAATGAAACTTTGCTTTCAGTGGTAACAACAACGGTTTAAGACAACAACAACGACAACAAAACATGCCCACAGAATACGCCCTCTTCCCACCAAAGGGTCCATTCAAAGGAAGGATCTGACGTGGAATGTGCACGTGGAGGAGCCCGGAGCCGGCTGGCCGCGCGTGAGACCCTGCTGGCAGGTCAGACACTGCGTCTCACCACCAGCATCTCCTCTTGAAAAGAGCCTAGATGTGACTAGCTCCTCACTTGAAACTCAGCACCTAAGTCAGATAAAATGTGTTCTGGCTGACCGACAAGGCGGTGGCTGACAAGGTGGTCTGCAGAGACTTAGGACAAAGTTATCTGTTTGACTGAATCTGAGTCGGCTGATTTGTAATGCACACTTTAATCAATAAGCAATTTAACATCATTCTTGCCTAACCCAAAACCACTGCCACTGAGTGGATTCCGACTCAGCAACCCTACAGGACAGAGGAGAACCGCCCCACAGTGTTTCCAAGGCTGTACATCTTTGCGTAACCAGACTGCCACACCTTTCTCCCACGGAGCAGCTGGTGGGTTTGAACTACTGACCTTTTGGTTAACAGCTGAGCACTTAACCACTGCACCACCAGGGCACCTATCATTCTTGCAGGTAAGACAAAACAGACATAATGAAAATGCCTGGTCTCAGCTATGTGCCCACAACACTTGAGAGCAACAGACAGAGGTACGTCAATGTCCACCACAGCACTGTCCACAACAGCCAAAAGTGTCCATCAACAGAAGAACGAATACACCAAGTGTGGTCCATCCACACAACAGATGACTCCGCCATAAAGAGAAACGAAGTCCTGATACGCGCCACCACATGGGTGAACCCTGAAAACATCACGCTGAGTGAAAGGAGCCAGACGCAAAAGGACAAATGTCGTGTCACCCCACTCGTGTGACATATGCAGACCAGGCAGCGTCGCGTTCTGTCACACACAGGGTTGCTATGCGTCGGCACCGGCTCCACGGCATCTAAGGACAACAGGCTAGGCGAACACAGAGACAGAAAGTAGTTTAGTGGTATCGGGGTAGATGGGAGGGAAAAACGGGGAGTTACTGCTTAAGGAGCTGTGAGTTCCTGTAAGCGGTGATGGGAAAACGTGAAAATGACCAGTGACGACGGCTGTGCAAGGTGAAGACGACATCACTGTGGGCTGTGCGCAGAAAATGGCGGAACTCTAAATGCTTTGTTACATCCTTCACCACAGTAATAATTAAACAAACTCATCATGATGGGTGATCTTCCTAAATAGCAGAAATCAACATTCTAGAAGAGTACTACTCAAAGGTCTGTGCTGAAACGTAACCAGCACACTGCTTCCTTCACCGAGAAAGTCTGTGTCGTGTGCCGTCGAGTCGACCCCGACCCGGCGACCCCGCAGGACAGAGCAGAACTGCCCCCACGGTACTGCCAACGCTGTCATCTTTACGGAAGCAGGCTGCCACATCCTTCTCCTGTGGAGCTGCTGGTGGGTTCCAACCACCTTTCAGTTAGCAGCCAAGTGCAGAACGACTGCGCCACCAGGGCTCCTCTGAGAAAGTCTAACAGGAAGCAAAGAGCGGCATTCAACAGTGTGCTAGCCACACAGCTGATCCTCACGCTGGTGCCATTTCCGTACTCGTCACTACTGACTGAAGAAAAGCTGTGGACCTGGGCAGGCTACAGGCCACACGTCCCTGTCCCACAGCACTGAGGTGCCCTTTCAAGAAGGCGGCACACACGGACACCATCATCAGTCCTCCCAAGACGCGACAGCACGCACCTGTTCCTGCAGGTCGTAGTCATAGCTGTCCTGGAGCAGCAGACTGAGGACGTACCGAGTGTAAATCACAGCATCGATGCCACACTTCTCGAGCTCCTGTCCCAGCCAGGTCTGCACGGGACCCAAGGCGTGAAGCAGAGACATTTCAGAGACAGACCCAGGGCCGGGGTGAGAGCTGGAAGCGCTTCCAGGTGGCAGACCAGCCACGACGACGGTGAGGACGGGGCGCATGGGCTTAGGTTGCTGTCAGCCGCGCGGCGTGAAGCATCTTCTGCAGCGGATGTTCTGTTCAAGTCTGGAGGGGGTCTTCACTCCAGGGGGAAGGAGAGCTGCCTGGCATTCCAGCAGGAGCCTGTGTTTTTGCTGGCAGTCGGCATCTAGAGCAGGATGTCCCTCTTCAGGCAGGACCAGTGGGTCAGCATCCCGAGAGCAGCACGCAGATGGGTGTGATTTCCTCCTTTAACTTCACATCGAGGCCAAATGGCGTCTCCGGCAGAACCTACAAGAATGAGAGAAAAAAAGGTGTGTGTATGTACAGACACAAATTACCTATGTAAAATATGAAATAAAATCCAAATGAACTGTTCCTCTTTTTAAAAATGTCTTAGTCATCTTAGAACATTGATTTTCCCTGTGATCAAATTTAAAACTAAGTGGTGGCATTTTAAAAGCTTAACAATGCCGAAAAGAAAGGAAAAATCAGAAACTGAAGTTCTCCTCCCTGTGTTCAATTATACCACTATCTATTTTGCCATCTCAGAGAACGAATGGACTAGCAAAATGTTGTCTATCTGTAATGCGAAAGAATTTACCTGGTGACAGCTCACTAGTCCATGTTTAAGTATAACATCAATAAGCAGTTGAAAAGTAATTTCATTGTAATATTGGTAAAAACTTAATCCTTGACGTTTTCTACAGGTACTCAATTATTTCCAATGGCTAAAAACTTTAGGGCTGGTCATCACTTATTTCATGGAAGTTAAGGTGAAATATGCATTTGTTTTACAGCTATACCAGGCTATACCGTGACATCTGCTGTAAGTTTTCTTCTTACACACCTAGGTAAACTTGCTGATTAACAAAAACCAAACCCATTGCTGTCCACTCAATTCTGACTCATAGTGACCTACAGGACAGAGCAGAACTGCCCCATGGGGCTTCCAAGGAGCAGCTGGTGGATTCAAACTGCCGACCTTCTGGTCAGCGGCCAAGCTCTTAACCACTGCGCCACCAGGGCTCTGACGTGATGATTACACCTTTCTAATTTAACAGCTTCCCCCCTAAACTATCATTCCCTCAGTGTCAAACTCACCTAATGATGCCTTTAACAAATCCTAATATTCTTTATGGTAGCGTTTCGATTAACGTATACCACCAGGAAACGAAACACAGCGAGAAGTCAGTCTCACGGCTCAACTTCTGCATGAATGCTAGCAGACGATAAGAGCTACCAAAAGCGACTTTCAAAGTATAAATAATTCTCGTTCGTAAAAGCATCAAGTCAGAAAGACAAAATCTCCTCCCCAAAGATTCAAGACTCACTTTCTTACACTTCATCTATAACTACACAGTTAATTTTATGAACATTAAAAATAGAAAAAAAATCTTTACATAAGACTAAGTCACTAGACTAACGTGGCACTACAGGCCACTTGCTGGAAAAGAACATCATGGTTGGTAAAGTACAAGGTCAGCGAAAACCAGGGAAGCCCTCAGTGCGACAGACTGACCCAGACAAAACAACGGTCTCAAACACACCAGCTCCTGGGAAGACGGTGCAGGCTGGCCACGTCTCACTGTGCGTACGTGAGGTCGCCGTGAGTCAGAGCCACCTCAACGCCAGCTACAATATACACTCGGCTGTTTTCCAAACTCCTCTCTACCATCCTATAGATTCTGAATTAGGGAAATTAGATAAATGAAAGCAAAGATTTTCTGTAACTCTCAGCAATTTTCCAGGTGACCATTTAATCTGTCTGGGTGTTAGGGTACAGATCACCAACAAGCAGGACACTTGATTCCAAGGCGTCATTTGAAGCAGATCAACCGATCACATTGGTGAAATGGTAGACTGTGATAAGATAAAGATGTATGCTATAAATGCTAGTTACAGAGTTATGAATAATAAGACAGCAAGGAGCTAAAATGGAATTTTTTAAAAAATCCAAAATAAAGGAAAAAGAGAACTAAGAACAGATGTAACAAAGAAAACAAACACCAAAACGTTAAAGATTTAATCCTAAATCTAAATAAATGTAAATGGTCTAAACACCCCAATTGAAAGAGATAACCAAACTGGGCTTTAAAACAGCAAGACCCAATCACATACTGCCTACAAAAGTTCACTTTAAAAATAAGACACAAGGAGGGACCTCATACCATCAAGAAAGCAGTGCCAGGAGCAGAGCGCGTCCTTTGGACCGGGGTCCCCGCGCAGAGAAGCTGCTAGCCCAGGGGAACACCGCAGAGAAGAAGGCCGACAGAGAGAAGAAGCCTTCCCCTGGAGCTGACGCCCTGAATTTGGACTTTTAGCCTACTTTACTGTGAGGAAATAAACTTCTCTCCGTTAAAACCTAAAAAAAAAAAGACAAAAAAGTTCAATGTGAAAGGGTGAGAGAAGACACGCCGTGAACACTGGCGCAAAGGAAGCTGCAGGGGCTGTATCAGTATCCGACAAAGCAGACTTCAGAGCAAGAGGTCACGTCACAGTGATAAAGGGGTCAATTGATCAAGAGACTAAATGTTACATACCTCACAACAGTGTCAAAATACATGCAGCAAAAACTGACAGAACCGCAAGGAAAAACAGACAAATCCACAATTATACTAGAAGAGTTCACTGTCTATCTCAAAAACTGAAAGAATGAGTAGATTGAAAAAAAAAAAAAACAGTAAGGATACAGAAGAATCAAACATTATCAACCAATTTGACCTAGTTGACTTTGATAGAACACTCCACCCAAAAGCTGCAGAATATGCATTCTTTTCAAGTGCACATGAACCATTTATCAAGACAATATTCTAGGCCATAAAGAAGTCTCAACAAACTTAAAAGGATTCAAGTCATACAAGGTATGTTCTCGGATCATATAGAATTAAATTACAAATTAATAACCGAACGATGTCTGAAAAAAATCCCCAAATATTTGGATTCTAAAAGAACATATTTCTAGATAATCAACAGGGCAGAGAAAAAAAAATCAAAGAGGAAATTAGAAATTATTTCAAATTGATTGAAAATGAAAAATAAAATCAAAATTTATAAGATGCAGTTAAAACAGTGTTGTTGTTGTTAGGTGCCACTGAGTCGGCAGTCAAGAAGAAAAGATAGCCTGAAGAGTCCTATATGTATAAAAGAAACTGAATTTGTAGTTTAAATTTTCACACAAAGAAATCTCCAGGCCCGGATGGCTTTAAAGGTGAATTCTACCAAATATTTAAGAGAAAAATAATATCAATTCTATACAAGCTCTTCCAGAAAACTGAAGTACAGAGAATACTTCCTAAATCACTTTAAGAGGCCAGCCTGATACCAAAACCAGACAAAGTTATTACAAGGAAACTATAGACCAATATCCTTCATAAACATTGGTGTGAAATCTCTAAACAAAATTTTAGGACATTAAATCCAACAATATACATCAGAAGTATACAATGCAAGGATATCAGAAGAATGTCCTTGTAAGTGGCCATCTAAGATACATCTACTGGTCCCACCCCATCTGCAGCAAGGGAGAATGAAGAGAACCAAAGACACAAGGGAAAGATTCGTCCAAGGGATTAATGGACCACAACTACTACAGCCTCCACCAGACTGAGTCCAGCACAACTAGATGATACCTGGCTGCCACCATCGACTACTCTGACAAGGATCACAATAGTGGGTCCCGGACAGAGCTATAGAAAAATGTAGAACAAAATTCAAACTCATAAAAAAAGATCAGACTTACTGCTGTGACAGAGACTGGAGAAACCCCAAGACTATGGCCCCTAGACACACTTTAACTCGATACTAAAGTCACTTCTGAGGTTCACCCTTCAGCCGAAGATTAGATAAGCCTATAAAAAAACAGTAACACACAGAGATCAACCGTGTATACAAGACTAAATGGGCACACCAGCCCAGAGGCAAGTACAAGAAGGCAAGAGGGGACAGAAAAGCTGGATGAATGGAAATGGGGAACCCAAAGTCAGAAGGGGAACAGGTGACAACCAATGTCACAAAACAGTATGTATATTAATTGTTTTAATGAGAAACCAATTTACCCTGTAAACTTTCACCTGAAGCACAATCAAAAAACAATAATAATAAAAAAAGAACGTCTGCAGTGCAATTTATTACTTTTGTGTGGCCTTTCTAGCCGTGGTCTTGCAACCCCTACCCAGGTGATTGGGCGGGACTGTGTGACAAGGTAATTGTCACCCACCAAGGGGACTGGTCAGTTTTGCCTCAAAAGAGAGCTAATCCCAGAGTAGAGAAAAGAATCCTACCACCACCAACAAAGAACAGCCAGGAGCAGAAAGCGCGTCCTTTGGACCAGGGATGCCTGCACTGAGAAGCTCCTGGAAGCAGGAGACCGAGAGAGCAAGCGAGCAAGCTGTAACCCTGAAGATAGTGAGAAGTGGTGGCAGGAGAGACTCAGGAGCAGAAGATAGCGCGGTGGGCTTCCTGGCCCGCAGAGAGAGAAAGCCGAGTGCCTTTGGGGAGAGGCCTAGGGCCAGGGAGAGGCATGCCCAGTACAGCTGGGAAGAGGCTGTCCTGAAGAAAGAACTGTATCCTGAGTGTTCCCGAGCCTTAATTGTAACCTGTTACTTCCCTAATAAAACTCCTAATTGTGAGTATGGTCTGCGAGTTGTGTGTGGCCATTGAATGAATTATCAGACCCAGGAGAAGCAGAGTGCTGTGTGAGAGATGGTTGGTGTCAGAATTATAAAAGATAGCGGAGAGAGGAGGCTTGTCTGGCCTCCACCTCATGGGAGTCAGCCTTGCATGGTTGACCTTGGTTCTCCTTCCCCCTTATGGGGTTGGAGGTCAGTCACTGCCCTGATGCTTATAATATCCTTAAAAAAAAAAATCCACATAATTGTCTTTCCCATAGAATCTCCAAAATATTAGTTTCACAGTGAACTACTTAGTACACACTCTTTTTCTCATTATTTAAATACACAAAGGCCTTAAAAATTCACAATGTGAAAGATGTCACTGTAAAAGTCTGATGCAGAAATACTGGGGATCATGGCCCAGCCAAATTGATATACATATGTTTTGGGGACATAATTCAATCCATGACAGCAACTAACAACACTGAAAACTCCTTTCAGGTGTGATCCACCAGTAACTATTTTCCACTAGCGGTCAAAATAATGCAGGGATCTGACGAGCCCATTCTCATTCACCTGGCAAGTTCAAGAATCTAGCAGGCACAAAGACCCAAACTCTGTTTATTCATATTTTTTTTTCATTCTGAATATGAAATTTAGTCATTATGAAGTTAAATTTAATTCTAGCTTATATTCTCAAAAGTTGTATTAGGGAAAAAGCGCCATTATATACAAATTTTTTTTTAACGTTGTCTTCTTCAAAGGTTTACCTCAAAAGAAAAAAAAAAACAAAACCTGTTGCTATCGAGTCAATTCTGACTCGTAGAACTGCCCCATAGGGTTTCCAAGGAGTGGCTGGTGGATTCAAACTGTTGACCTTTTGGTTAGCAGCCAAGCTCTTTAACCACTGCGCAACCAGAGCTCCACCCCAAAAGGACCTTCAAAGTATCCTGGGTATCTTTCTCCCACACAGAATTAACCCAAATCATCCTAAAGATTAAAAAAAAAAAACTCAGTTGCTGTTGAGATGATTCCAACTCATGGTGCCCCCACGTGTGTCAGCGCAGAACTGTGCCCCACAGGGTCTTTAACGGCTGGTTTTGGAAGTAGATCACCAGGCCTTTCTTCCGCCCAATCGCCTCTGGGTGGCCTGCAACCACAGTCTTTCAGTTTCAGTCAGCAGCTAAGTGCTTATTTGTTTGCGCAACTAGGGGTTCATCCTAAAGATAAACCCACTGCTGTCAAGTCTATTCGGACTCATAAGCAACCCCACAGAACAGAGTAGAACTGCTCCATAGCGTTTCCAAGGCAGTAACCTTTGCGGAAGCAGACTGCCACATCTTTCTTCCAAGGAGCAGCTGATGGGTGCAAACCGCTGACCTGTCCAGCGCTTAACCACTGAGGCACCAGGGCTCCTTATTCTAAAGATAAGTCTGTAAAAACGGTGGTTTAAAAGGTCCCACGATAATTACATGTATGTTAGAATTTCTTTTGCTTTTTTAAATTTTAAGTGGTTTTATTAAGGATACAAAAACAACATAGTTAAAGGCCCATGATAGAGTTTGCATAACACTTGAGTATTCCTCAGTTTATGCAGTGGTATCGGAGAGCGGCCAGTGCACTTCCTGAAGAGTCCTACTACCTGGGTTTTACAGTCCGTCCGAGCTCTGCTACTTAATAGCTGGGCCCGCTTTGAAATTTTTGTTTTCTCATCTGTAAAACAGAAATACAAATACTTGGTCTGCCTACCTCCTACAAGCAAATGAGAAGGTCTTCTACGCATTTTGTGGCCTTTGCATTACACAGAATGTCACATAAATGGAAGGTATTGTTAAAAACTACCCCCTTAAACTGTTTATATTTGCTTAACCTTACAGGTTCCTTCGCTAACAGGATTATCTGAAGAATAGTAGTTATTATTTGAAGTATATTAGCCTTTTAG